ACCGTCTCAAACCAGCCTATCTCGATGTTACACCTGGGGATACGGATTCCAGTTCTCTTTCGCAGCCTACTTCACCAACACCATTGTCGGAGCCTACTCGGACCACTCGCTCTGGCAGACGTGTCCACTTCCCTAAACGACTAATGAGCTTCGTTCACTAGCTCACTGGGGGGGGAGTGATGTGGCGACCTCTGACCTATACACGTGCACGACCTCTGACCTATACACGTGTACGGCCCTGACCTATGTACACGTGCATGGAACATTCGAGAACTTACGTAGAACATATATAAGGTACTTTGAATCAGTCGGATGGTATTTGGAGTCGCTACACTGGCGAGAGGAAGTGATAACTGGATGATTTGGACAGAACACTTGGAAATAATGGGACACTGTTTCAGTTGACTGGGATGTCGGTAAAGAGATTGTCCTCAAGTGGAAAAGCACGAGTTGGTGGAGTCGGCATCGGAGGTGATAAATTCGGGTTGTTGTCCAGTGGTGGGAGACTGTCTTGCCAGTTGGTTCCCCCTCCTGAAGCGCTGCCACTGTTTGCCTCCTTCTCTCGCAGCTTCTGGTGGGTCTTGGTGTGCCTGTTGAGGCTGTACTCTGCGCACGACCCTCTTCCCGCACTCGACACACACAAACCTCTTCTCCCCTGTGTGGGTCACGAAGTATCGCTGTAGTTTGTCCAAGCGAGTGAACTGCTTCCCACAGTTCAACAAGTGACAGATAAACGGTCGCTCACCCTTGTGCACAAGAATGTGTTCGCGAAGGTTGGACGCATTTACGTATACCTTGGAGCAGTTGGGATAGTGGCACACATGCTGTTTCTTTCTTGGAGAGCCATCCGGATTAGTAGCCTTGGAGTTGGTGCCATTGGCACAGTTTGTGCAGGTGCACGGCGTACGACAGGGGCGGTTCTTCTGAGCAGGAAGGGCCGCATCGAAGAAGTCACTTCCAGTAGGGCACATACTGTGGTCCCCCCCACCTCCACTCGGCCACGAATGGGTGCTGCCCAGGTGATGGGGCTGAGTCGATGCTGCTGAAGGTTCATGAGAGAGACTGTTTCGGAGGAGCAGAGAGGGGAGGAGGAGGGAGGCACGAAGGAGATATGGGGAGAGCAGCGGAGCAGGGCACGCAGCAGCATCGCAAGACGGTATACTGCGGGGCGGAGGAATCGACGTAAACGACAGCCGTACCGCACGAACCACGCTGGTTACTGGTATACTGCAGATCACTTGAGACTCCGCCAGTCAACTCGAGGTGCTGGTTGCATAGTTCAAAGTTCAAATTCAAAGTTCATTTTGCAGGACATATGCATACAGTCAACCAGTCAAAGTATAACATGAAAGCTGAAGTTCCAGTCCAGATATCGGAAGAGCCGCTGTCTGACATTGTCATCTGGCACCTGGCATGGCGACTAGATCGAGCGCTCTGCTGGACAGCTGAACTTGCTTGGTCGGTGATTTTCTCGTAATCATCTTCGGCAAATGACAGCATATTTCAGACTGCTGTCAATGATCTCAGAACAGCACCACTCCGTCGGTGTGCAGCGAGGCTGGGTGTGGGTGGTGGTGCGTGACGTGAGTGGCGACCGTACCTCCGTACCTCTGTACGATAGGTGATTTTTCACCTCTGTAAGAAAAAGACCAGAGGAAACGCTCAGTTGGCGGCACACTGACTAGCAGCAGTGATTACACGGCGATCAGGGTACTACTACAAGTATAAACTATGTGATGCTAGACCCAGATCGGTAGTTATTTAGAAGTGAATATGAATTTGTAAATGTCTTGCTCACCATGTCCTCAGCTGTATCTCTCCAGGTCAGTATATGAGTATAGTAGAGTACAAGGTTAATAAAATCCTACGAATTTAAAGAAAGAGGCATATCTGGAGAAAGAGAAGACAAGGTAGGGATCGGGGTATATGAGCATGGTAATGAACAGATTTGAGCACGCTGAACACCCCCAACCCCACCACACATCCGTTGCCTGTGTGCCACTCCATTTGTACTCTTGGTTACTCAGTAGCATGACTTTTTCGTATTTTCAAGCTAGACTATTGTGTATGTTGAATGTTTAATACTTTACTCTAGGCAACAATATAGGGTTGTGTGATGGGTTGGGGGTGTCAGCGTACTCAAATCTGTTCATTAACCATGCTTCATTACCCCATCCCTAAAGAGGAGAAGCAAGATGGGATTTTGCTGTGATTGCATGCCTACAGGATGGCTCAAGGATCGGTCAACGATCACACTAAATCTTGTGTTCACTTCACCAAAATGCTTAGTTCTAGTGAGCTCAGGAATTGCACAAATTATGTATTGCCTAGACCTTGACAACAGGGTCTGTTTCATCATAGATAAATTCATGAAGGGAGGCAGTGCACACTCTTAACATCACTGAAAGGAAAAGATCCAGGGAGGAAACCACCACAGTTTGCTGAAGTTAGCTCAAGTGTTAGACACCACTCCTTTATATTGGAGGGGTGCATTAGAGAAGCCATCCTTCTGTTGGAGCTAACCTAGGATTCTAGATGGTGGCAACCTGGCAGTTTAGTTCACCCGTGTCAGTCTGACCTATGTTCTAACACCCATTTTACATCACCTTTATTCCACTACTGAGCTCACCACACCTTTACATACAGAGTCCGTACTGCATATTTGCATAGCTGTGCAAAAATGTCAGAAATGGATTTACACAACCCGAATTCAGACTGTCCATGCACAGCTCTAACCCCAAATGAACCCCTCCAACAGGAGGTATATACCACTGAATGTAGAGTGGGGGCTGAAGGAAAAGAGAGTGGGGAAGGCGGAGCAATACCAGTGCGGTGAGTCCTGGAAGCGAGGAGATGTTACTATAAGGTAAATGGGGGTAACTCCGGACATGGGGCGTTGCACCAGCCTCGAATTTATGCGCTGCGCATAATTTTTTCGCAGCGCATAATTTCGAGGCTGGTGCAACGCCCCATGTCCGGAGTTACCCCCATTTACCTTACACATGCACCACCCTATAGTTCATACACTTCCGTCACTTGCACAGTAAGCTTAGCTCGCCGAGTTTGGCACCTCTTGCAGATCATGCCATTCAAAGAAGAGGAGCAGGAAGAGAAAGAGGAAGGAAATAAGTGGCAGATGGGGGAGAAAAGACGGAAGAGTGATTATGCACAACTTATACGTTCTCACATACGGCCTTTAGCATTCCTCGCCGCTCCACCGCAAGTTGCAAGGCCTCGGCCTTTGACCTATCCATTTCCTAGCCTGTGACCAGCAGTACTGTACCGTCCCACGCTCCCACACATCTTCCACCTCTCCACTATACTACTGACTGGCCCTTGCTTTCTTGCGCATGCGTATACGATCGCTGTAGAGAGCGCGCGCCCTCGCGCCTTGCGCGCGCTGCGCCGGCGCGGAGTAATATCATGTCGTCATCCCTCTACGAATTCCCTCGCAAGAACATTCCAGTAGAAGGTATCGTTGACCTTTGCACCATACCATCCGCGCGCGCCCACACATTCCGAGGTTGAGCATGCGCACGAAGACAAAACGGCGCGAACTTCAAATTCGATAACTCGGGCTAGACAGCAGATATCGCGACGAAAATAGCAGCGCTATACGCTACGTCATCAGGGGAATCGAAAGAGTCGCGACTCGCGTCGATCGGCTGTTGGCGAGCCACACCCCCTTACTGCTATTAGAATATCCCGTTTATAATCATACAAACTTGAAATCCAAAGCCATTTCCTATGCTTTCCCATACATTTTACTCCGTTTTATAAATACGGATAATGTCATATCCCGCCTATATATTACCACAAAAATTTTTTGCCCGCATATTGTCATTATTGCGCATGCGTAATTAGGCATTCTACAACCTTGGGCTGGAGTTTTGCAACTCTCCATTCTCCACCTGGCTTCATTAGCTTATGTAAACAGCTGAGCTAGCCTAGCTTCATCAGCTTAGCTAAACAAACTGCATTGTGCCCTATGTATATATAGTTCACAATATACATTGGTATACACAGTATACACACCCGGAGTATACACAGTGTACGCACCCGCATTATAGAATATCCCGCATATTATCATATTTTTTGGATGCACACCGTGTATGATATTAACCGGGACCCACTGTATACCCTGTGCATAAGATTGCCTGTTGATCTAACGGTGCTATAGGAGGAAGTATTGTTGTAATCTCATTTTTGGAACCTCTTTTTGAAAGTAACATTGCAACTATTGCACAAGACTGCATCCATCAGGAAGCCAGAACTACCCCTTCTTGTAAGCAAACTCCACTGGTAGTAGAACACTTGATGGTGGGTATGGTGACGTATTGGAAGTATTGAGAACCTGATAAATGTCGAATCATAACTTTAGTGTAATAAGGCTTCTAGGACTACATCAAGTTCACAAATCAAATATTTCCTCCCAAGTCTGCTCAAAAATGCTAGAGCCAATTGTAGTTGTTTTGTAGTTTTGTATATAGCTAACAGGTACTTGTAGGTAAAAGTTGAATGAGACACAGTGACACACCTGCACATTCATATTTTGTTGTGTCATGTTGCTCTGATGGATCTGTCTGGAGAAAACGGTATTCATTCAGTGCAAGCTCATTGCTGTGTTAGCATGCTGAAGATGACAGTGTGTATAATACTCCTTGTGTATGACAGGCAGGGAGATCCCCTGGGGTTTCCCCAAAAACATGGTATAAAAGCTACCCTTGCACTGAGTCACTCATACAGATCTTTCTCAAGAGAGGGTTGTCTAATCTCTAGAGTAAAACGAAGCATGCCGAGCTGGAACCTCTTTGTGGCAGGGAGATCCCCTGGGGTTTCCCCAAAAACATTGTATAACCGCTACCCTTGCACTGAGTCACTCATACAGATCTTTCTCAAGAGAGGGTTGTCTAATCTCCAGAGTAAAACCAAGCATGCCGAGCTGGAACCGCTTTATGGCAGGGAGATCCCCTGGGGTTTCCCCAAAAACATTGTATAAAAGCTACCCTTGCACTGAGTCACTCATACAGATCTTTCTCAAGAGAGGGTTATCTAATCTCCAGAGTAAAACCAAGCATGCCGAGCTGGAACCTCTTTGTGAAAGGACAGGAAGGGAAGACAATGAATTTCATTCAGGAGGATGATCCAACAGTGAGTTGATGGACCGTAGCTGTAGCAATTTCACCATGACTTCAAGACTAAGTATATTTAACTAGCTAGTCTGCTAAGAATATTAATTGATGGGCCTTTTTTACAGAACATTCCGGTAGATACCGTGAAAAAGCTCATTCAAGAGAGGACTGGGTTGCCTCCTTCAGAGCAAAGGCTAATATTTGAAGGAAAGCAAATGGAAGGTGGAAAGAAGCTAAGTTCCTACCGTATTACCAACAATGCGACAATTTTCCTTGTTATGCGTCTGGTTGGTGGAGCACAACGACCACCACAGCCACATGTCCGTAAAATCGACCCTTCGGTTCCCCGCAGTGATGAAGACTGCATGATAATGTTCACTGATGGAGAGAATGTCCGAATGCCCTGCGGTCACACCCTCTCCCCTGAAGGCCTGATTGAATACAGCTGGAGAGAGATCTGCGTCAACAGAAAAACTGAGGTTCACTGCTGTCTTTGCAAACAGTTGTGGGACACGGACACAATTCGAAAGTACGGTGGTGCTACTGACCAGGAGATAACTGTTCTCCAGGAGTGCATGTCTCTGAATTACTGCCAGAAAGATCCAAAGATATCAGAGTGTTCCAGCTGCAAGAACTTTAGTGAGAGGATGTGTGAGTCAGATCTGTGTGTCGTGTGCCGAATTTGCTCCAAAAAGAATGGTAAAACGTACAATTTTTGTTGGGACTGCAAGCAAGAATGGATCGGAAATCCCACCAACAAGAGGTGTGGGAACGACAAGTGCAATGCTCAAGAGCTTATCGAGCAACTTAGAAACTGCCCAGAGGTGGAAATTTCCTATCTGAAAGGAGTCAAAGCCCCCTCCATTCGAGCATGCCCATGCTGTGGCTCCCTCATTGAGCACGGTGGCCAGTGCAAGCACATGACCTGCAAGGCTTGCTCAAAGGAATTCTGCTTTCTGTGTTTGCGTTTTCAGGAAGGTGGTTCCTCGTCCTGCGGATCGTATGCCACTGCTTGCAGCGTCGCCCCTCGCCAGAGCAGAATTCCTTCTCGTAATTAGCTAACTAGTACACCAGCTAACTTCCAGAAGGGCCAGAAGTAAAAGACCCAAAAGTAGCGTATTATGTGTGTTTGATAGAAGTTTGCATTGCTGTAACAGTAACAGTTTTTCACAATCAGGAAAAGACGTTTGTACGTGTTGTTGCTACATTGCTATATAGGATCACAATATGTCGCATTTCCCCATCACGTGCTGCCGCAAATGCTATCCTCGCGGCGTGGCATGTCGCGACAAGGCTATTGTGAACCAAGCCTAACGCAAGAGCGAATGAGGCCACACGGCCAATGTATACAAGTGGAAATATCTGACATTGTCACTCACACTCACATGTTACTTCCACCACTGGCAGTCTTGAAGGCAATCTCAATCCACTCCAACAGCTTGTGGGTGAATTCGCTGACGTCTTGCTGTACCACCGTCACAGACGCCTGCTCCGTGAACGCAGCCTTCAGCGCCTATAATGTACCAATAGAAACAGCACCAAGACCTCTATTTTCTAGTATATTAATACAAAATAATGTGGCTGACACCCACAAATTAGAGAAAACTGTTGTAAACTGCTCTAGTGCTATAGTATAGCTGGAGAATGAATGCAGTGCTAGAGTGCCCTACACTTTTCGTACTTTTAGCATGCAAGTGGGACAAAAGAAAGGAAAAAACCAACAATTCTTGTTACCAATCTATAGCTGGAGTGTGCATTGGAAACAGTCCCTGTCAGGTGCATTTACAAACATGCCACTTTTAATTAGGATTTGAATACCTGAATGGCACTCTGAGGGTTGATGTACTTGCGTCTGGTAGCCAGGAGGAGAGCAAACAGTCTGCGCAGCTCCACGAGGAAGAGGAGGCAGTGGTGGTGTGGCTGGTCCGGGGAGGGCAGTGCCGGCGGCTGGAACTGGAGCACCACCGAACGGAACTCCCGGGATATGGAATAGAGACTGGAGAGGAGTGGGGGAAACACAACAGAGACAGTAGCCACACCACGTGTACGTAGAGAAACTTGTGTGAATTGCTGGAAAAGGTTGGTACAAAGGTTAGAAGAGCAGTCATTGGTTGATGTTCTGTGTTCCCATTATAAGCAGTGGTAGAGCAGTGTGGACAATATTGATGCGGATTAATTATAATATTTCAGAAGTCCACAATCTGGGCTGTTGGTATGGTGTGTATGTTGTTTCAGAAAGTAAGTTATATGGATGTCCACATTATCTGGGATGTTAGCATAGCATGGTGTGGACAAGACTAATTGGCTCAATGTGACTTCAGTGTGGACAACACTGATGTGGTTCAGAGAGCGGGTTGAGGGGTGTTTTGGGGGTATTGGACAGATATGTACATGGTGGTTTCAGGTGCAGATGAAAGTGAATACAGCAGCCAATGTTGGTGATTGTAAAGAGCTCAACTGCTCACGTGACAAAGTGTTGGCTAGCATCAACCAAACAAAGGTACATTGTTAGGGAAACATGGTATTAGTCTTGCTTGCAAGCAAGACTATGGTAGTCTTGCTTGCTGTACTGGCTAGTCAATTATGCCATACATGGGACTAACATTAGAGCAGTAATTTGCTTACACAAGCATTAGTAACCAACATAAACGACATCACTAGCTATTTCAGCAACACATATCTTTCCTACACTTTTAGCAAACAAAACGGCAACTAACCATCCTGAATACCTGCACAGTAGCTGGAGAATGAGAGTGCCCTAAACTTTTCGTACTTTTATCATTCAAGTTGGAGGTAGGAAATGCCTAACCAACCATTCTATAGCTGGAGTATGCAGTGCAAATAGTCACCATGCGTTACTGTGAAAAAGTAAGGCGTGTTTACATGCCACTTTTAATTCGGATTCTTCCTATGTAAATCAAGGTGGCGCATGAATTCTCCAAACCAGATCACAACTGTGTCAATGTCCCTAAGCACGGCCTAAATTTCCCCTTGGCATAGTGCAATTTACATACATGCTTTCGAGTGAGTACAAACATGCACAAAATCTCACACAGCGACTTTAGCGTTATTTTTTCGTGTACATGTCCATGTATGTGTGATTAACTGGTGTTGCACTGTTGAGGTGTACGTATGTATGTGTGTACGTATGTATGTGTGTACGTATGTATGTACGTATGTATGTGTGTACGTATGTATGTGTGTATGTATGTATGTAATATGTATGTATGTATGTATGTATGTATGTATGTATGTATGTAGTATGTGTGTGTATAATCTGACCTGTATGACGGCACTGAACCAGCAAGTGTTGCCGATGTTCTCAAGCCGACAGGGTTGTGCCCGAGTCGCTGTCTCTCGTGGGGGTTGAGAGGATCCACAGAGATGCCAGCGAGAGAGAGTCCGATCTGCTGGAGGGCCCCCTGCCTCTCTGCCAGACTGGCCTCTAGAGCCCTGTACGGTGGGAGAGAGAGGGAGGGAGGGAGGGAGGGAGGGAGAGGAGATGAAGTATGACAAGATACAGGTCTCAAATACTACCAGCTCAAGATATCAAAATCAGCAAATGAGGTAAAGCAGTAGGTTGACGGGCATGAATTCCTTGGCACTTCATAGATGGGACACGATCAAATTTGAAAACTTCGCCTCGACAGGTTGTATATAAACGTGCATGTACAGTGCACATACTACACAAAGCTCCCTGCAGCAAACTTTACCGATGTCCAGCACTGAACGACAAACTGCAATATAAGATGTCCATCAAATTGTTAAGCTATGCGTAATCTACAAGGCACACGAGGGCAGGATTATGTGAGGCTGATCTGCGGTCCTCCGGTGGAGCCCTGCTGCATCTCCTGGAGACTGAGTGCCAGGGCCTTCTGCAGAGCATTGTCCTCCTGTGTCAGGTCTATGGGGTCTGGTGGTGTACAGTGCACAGTGTGAGGAGAAGTGGGAAGGAGAGGAGGGGGGAGGAAGAAGAAGAGGGAGAGGAGGAGAAGGAACAAAACAACGTGGCAGTGACGAATCTACATTTGCAATGTGAATATGAATGCATGATGCACAGAATATCAGCAAAATTATAGCAGGCATGCATCTGTGTTACAGCAGTTTCTAAGGTGATGGCAACATGAATGTGAACCCAGACAGACACAACACACTTTCTCTGCTACCTTGCAAACACGACAACCTCTGTCTCACTCCCTCCCTCTCTCTCCATCTTCTCCATCTTCTCTCTCTTTCTACTGTCCATCTAAGTAAACCCCACTATTGAACGGATCCAGCTCCAGTGACAGTCACCTCAGGGCCAGTAGTGGACGTCTCACTAGCAGCCTCTTCACCACCTGTAGCAACAACATGTAGTCATCACCGCTTTAGCTCCTCCTGTTAGCACTGGTTCTTCTTACAAGAGTGGGAAATTGAGATAACTAATTGTGGGGGAGAGCTTTGGTTGATTGTTCGATCCACTCAACTAAATACCCCACGCACCAAATTTGCAGCCGAAATTGCTGTTTCACCCGCTTGAAGCCTATGACAATATGACATTAGCGTTGTATTGATCGAAGCATAGGCTGATTATGTATAATAATGTGCAAGAATGCAAAAAGTGGCAAGAAAATCTTTTCTTATTCCAGTACAGTCGGTGTAAAGAGAAAGGTTTCTGGGATGAAAATGTACATGACTTTCTCACATGCTTCTGTTAATTGTTATCGTCATACAAACATTAATGTACGTACTACATACCTGTTGTTCTGTTTGCGTGTGCTAGATCATGTTACTAGGAGTCTGTCCAGCAGAGGCCGAGGGGTTTGGGGTTTGGTTTTGGTGTAGTTCCACCAGTTCCACCTCCCTCACCTCTACTGTGGGCCATTGTATCTAGCTCCTTTCTCCACCCGCATGAGGGCCAGAGTGAGAGGAGGGAGGGAGGATAGAGTTAATAGGGAAAAGAGCGGAGAGAGAGAACGAGAGAGAGAAAGAGCTGACAGGGAAGAGGAGGGATGAAGGGAGGGAGCAGAGAGAAAGGATGGGAGGAGAAAAAGAAAGTGAATGCGACAAGACTGCTATCGTTATATCACATTACCGGACAATAATTTGGTTTCAATGAAAGTAAGGGAGCACTCACCTAGAAACGCTGCAATTGTTTGAGATGCCTTCCGTAGGAGTAGTGTATTGTATTACATATGTGGGCATGGCAAAACTATGTGTAAGCAGGTAGACAGCGACGGTCAGCTACTACATGTGGTTACGGGAATTATTGCTAACACTACGGATTCCAGTAACGAGTTGGACAACAAACGACAAACGCAGAGCAACAAGCACGATTGCTTCAGTAACCTGACCTCCCTGGAACCCTGGGCAGCAGCGACCGGTGTATATAAAAGTATCTTCGGTTCCCTTCCCTGCGAAAATCACAGTGGCGCGATGCTTTCATAGAAACAAAAAAAGGCGAGGTACTGGCTTGTAGTACTACTCACCGCGGGAGCTGCAGCAGGGGCAGAAGAGAAGTTCTTTCCATTCCACAGTCCTCTTGCAAAAAATTATAGGGAACAGCGGTTTTTAGCCTACCACCCCACGGGGGGGGGGGGGGGGGGCCCCCAGCCCAGGCGGCAAAAGCCGAACAGAGAAAGAAAGAGACGAAAGGAGAGGTCGGAGCTAGCTAGCACGAGAGCACACGCGATGCTCCGCTCAATTATCAATATTTCACTCCACCCAACGCATTGCCGATAAAAAGAGCGGAGAAAAGGGGGGGCGTGTCGTGAGAAAGGAGAGGTGTGTATGAGTTTACTCTCCATATCGTACGCGGTTGGCTGTCGCTGTCCAAAACACAGATCGTGGGACTCTTGCCAAGGCTGGTATAACCTGCAAAGAAAGACTCCAACTCTCTACCCATTGATGCTTGACACGATCCTCTGTCTCGCCGTGATCCTGCCGCGCCAGCGCCGAGAACTTCACGTGGAACGCACTCGAAGTGGATAATTCGGCATCCAGCGAGCCGCCTGATGCGCCACTCGGCGCCAGGGGCTTCTGGGGTCAACAGAGTTTCTTCGGTTCGATGGCATAGGAAGCGTCCACAATGGGTCAGGATATACGGTGTGGACCGCTGCTTTGTATTGCTGCTAGCTGAGCCCTATTAGGTGGAACCCTCCTTCAAGTCGATCTCTCCTCAACTCTCGGCACATGCTCTAGATCAGACAGCCTTCTGCTGGCTTGCACCTGTGCTGTCTCTCTCTCAGCATCAAAAATGAGAAAATTCCCCCAACTCTTAGCTCTTTAGCTAGATTGCAGTCAAAAAAGGTCATGATGTGTTTCAATAATTAGTAGGTATGGGAAAGTCTGAGCATGAGCAGTAGTAGTGCCGTGGTTGCGGATTGCGTGCTGACAGTGCCCGGTGGTGGACAGCGCACCGCTACGGCATGGCTCATGGAGTGTACGACAAGTACCTGATCTCTCACGGTGAGCCCCTTCACTGGGTGTTCAGCATGTCTTCTCTGTTTATGTTCAGACATGTCATATCACCTCTCTTTATGTGTTGGTAACGTATATATATAGATACTGGGATCACTTCATTATTTGCTCGGCTGTTTAGTGTATCCAAGCATCAAAAAATACGTACCGATCGCAAAACGCGCGCCGCCCGGCGGCTTCCTTTGTAGCAAGTAGCTATTCGGGACGCGCTTATGACTCGCCGAGCTGGGATATATGTAGGCTGTTGGCGTTGCCCAGAGTGTTTTATTTGCGGCCTACGCAGTGGCCAGGTAAGTCAATATTGTGCCTTCGTTCACGTATCGCACCACGGGCAGCTTGAGGAGAGAGGGGCCGCAGCCGATTTTTCCGAGGGCTGACCCCTCGAGAGTATTGGCTTGCGACAGCCAGCGGCACGTTATCTGAAATTCAGTCCACTGCCGCTGGAGTTGTGAATTTGGTTTAACTTGCTCCTCTCCCCATTTATATGTCCGTAAACAAATACGAGAGAAGCAGTTTAGCCATCCTTCCGAGCAGAGTACAGCAGTACCGCTGTTTCCACAGAGACTAAAGAAAGATGTTGCGAATGTTATGGTTCCACCTGACTATTGCCTTACAAGCAGCCCTAACATCCAGTCAGTGGCCCTACCACCAGATATATCCCCCAGTCAACGATACGGATGGCCGGACACCGCTGTATTTCGCAGTAGTACTTTCTTTTGGTTGGAGCAGCTACAAGAGCATCGGAGCACTGCCGGGAATCCAGATAGCACTGGACTACATCAACAGGGAACCCTCCATCCTCCCTGGATACAGTCTTCACTACACCCTCACCGACTCCCAGGTATGTAGGTAGCCACTCTGAACGGGAAAATGCTGAGTGGCCTGGCTTTTAGCTAAGTGTCTCTATGTTGAGTTATAGCTAGCTAGCTTTTATACGCAGCTTCCTCACATTCATTCTCTCGTATAATAATTATAATCAGGCCTTTCTGCTTTAGTTAAGAGTCAGCGTTTTATGTGAGATGTGCTATGACACATTTTAGTGTCCCACTGGCTGCAATATCATAATTCTCATGGCGAGAACTTACAAGCAGAGGTTATTTAGATAATTGCGTGATTGCAAGCTTTGATCAAAGTTGCCCATTGAATGTGCTGGGATCAGCTCTGTGTTGATGTACATTCCATACATCCATTTTCTTGTAGAGCACCTTCCAGGGAACCAGACCTGCAAAATAGAGAAAGATTTAGGTATAGTAAAACTCCTCTATATAGCAGTATGTTACCTTCACTCTTTATTCCTGCATGATGCTTCCTTTGTTCGATGCTGCAACATTGAATTCTAGGTACTACTTCCAGCTTGTAGCCACAAATCTGCTTGGTGCGCATGGATTTTTTGGAATAATTCAACATTTTGGTTGGAGGAAAGTCCGACTTGTTGCTCAGGATGAAAATGTCTTCACTGCAGTGAGCTGATGTCCATAATGAAATATGCTCCTATTATAGCTCATTAATAATATTCTTTAGACTATGGATGTTTTGAAGGATATGTTGGATAAGAATGCAGTGGAGTACACAGAAATACGGTTTAGAAGTGAGGAAACTGTGCCAAGCATTAACGCTTTTGTAAGTTGTTTTATTCCTCAGATCTATTCTTTCCAGTAGCTTTATAGTGTTAAAAAACATTCATGCGAGACATTAGTTTTGAAATTTGAAACAATTATGAGATGGTAGCTAGCTACTTTATGTGCATTTGATATTGATCACCAGCATTGTGCATGTGTATTATAAGTTAACAAAACCATCATACTTTCTTAAGAACTCAGAAACCAGAATATATGTGTTGGCAATGTACAGTCCTCATGCAAGGGATGCACTTTGTGAGGTACGACAATAAGTCAAGAAGCTCTTGTTGCTCTAGCAAGTCATTGGCTGCAGGCATACAGACGTGGATTTCATTATCCCAAGTATGTCATCATAACTTTTGGCTGGTATGTGAGACAGTGGTGGGAGATGGATGCACCATCCACCAACTGCACTGCTGAGGAGAGAGCCCATGTCCTCCTCTATAGCATGGCTGCTGTTTCGTCTCAGTTCCCTAGAGAGCAAGATGAGTACACAGCTGAACCAAACATAGTGCGTGTTTTCCATTCATGGAATTGCATGTGTGTTTACTTTCAAAGTTTTTGTTATGCACGTCAGAGTCACCGTTATTAACAGAATAACATGCTGTTTTCTTCAGACCCTTTCAGAATTCAACTCACTTTACCACGAAGTTGTGAGGAGGGACATCAATAGCCAGAACAATTTGGAAGAGTTTGCTGACTACATTTTTCCTTATGCCTACCAGTGCAATGAAGCCACTCTTGCTTATGCTTATGCCTTAAGCAAAACAATAGCCGGCAAGTTTATACGTGCAGATCATAAACTAAAAAAAACACAATTCCTTTGATTTAGACCTTGCTGGAGAGTGAGACACTAAACAGAGAAGCTGCGGATGAAAGTGGTCTTCCTGAAGGAGAAACCTTCACAATTGCCAACTTCACCTATGCCAACTCAGCAGTTGTGTCTCGGATGTTTGAACACCTCCAGAACACCATGTTCCCTGGAATAAGTGTTAGTTGCATTCAGTTACAGTTATTATAAGACTATACACAGAGAGCAGAAAGTCATTGTATTCCTCCACCTATAAGAGAGTTGGTAGACTCTCTATATAGGGATGACACGGGTGAAATCTCACGTGATCCGCGTACAAAACGATCGGTGAGAATCACTCTCTTGGCCTTCAAAACACACTAGCAATAGTCTACGGGCTCATATCTACCTATACATATCCCCCAAGTCCTCATACGCACCTTAAGTCGTCCACGCGCGATTTCGCTCATACGCGATTTTCGTGTCATCATATTCTTTTCTTCTTCTTCTTCTTCTTCTTCTTCCCAACTATCTCCTTACCAGTATATACCAGTTGAAGCACTGATTTTTTCACTGAAGGTCTCCAATTTCGCCGGAGGTGTGCACGGACATCAAGCGATCGTTTCTTCTTGCCCGCTAGTCACTACGGTAGATCATGGAGCTCTTCCATGGTCGACACTGAACAACACCATTTGCTGCTAACTCAGCATCAGTGAGCCCCACGCATGCGCCAGGCAGGGACCGTTGTCCAATGCGCTTGCGAGCGTATTACCGGGCGAGTTGGCAGACCTGCAGAGGAACTCTCAGCCTCCAGTACCTTCTGTGAGTAAGTGTGCACATTTCCATTTGCACGAAGAGCAACTTGGAGCGGTGTTACGCCGAACGCGAGCTTTGCGGGACACTCAGTCAAATGGACCTTCTTTGTTTGTCCCCCCAGGTTGTAGCCTGATTACCAAAGCCTGCTCATGAAACCACAACCATGTGCTTACATCCTTGTTGAAGACAATACATGAGGTGAATGGGGTATGTAGCCCCCCCCCCCCCATTAGCTACTACTTTCAACAGTTACACAATTTGTGTAATTTTTCTATGGTAGCCCTATCTACAACATGCCCATGAGCATCAGAGTGACAGTAACAATAAGTGCAGTGTTGTCATGAGCTTTTAAAAATAGTGGAAACAAGTGGAAAAATCTTTTCTTCAATAATGGGGGATATAGGGATGGCTTGAAGCACCAAGAAGGAAGAAACAAGGGGTCATTACACTGCAAAGTTGCACAAAGCTACATGACACCATCCCTATATCTTTATAAGCAAAGTTTAATATCGAACAAAGATATAGGCATGGTGTCATGTTGCTTTGTGCAACTTTGGAGTGTAATGACACCTTGTTGTTTTCCTTTTTGGTGCTTCAAGCCATCCCTATATCCCACTTTCATTTTTGAAGAATGATTTAGTGACCTGATCATGTACGACCGCCAGACAGAGACCTGGTGGCAACAGTTCACCGGCGAAGGAATCATTGGCAAGTATGCAGGCGAGCAGTTGAACTTCCTTTCCAGCCAGGTGCTCTCCTGGGGGGACTTCAAAGTCGCCCATCCGGATGGAGATGTGCTGGCGCGGCCGAACATGCCCCGCAACTACGGATACAACCCGTATGTGGGTTACGACAGCACATCCCGGCCCTTCCTCTTTTTGGGCACACCTGATGCCCGTCTCAAGCCGGCCGAACGTGTTCTTGGACTGACGACAGAGACCGACGCCATCGCCTATCCGTTTGCAGCGTTGGAGGAGGCCAGGGTGGTCCACGACTCGTTCGGTGGGGCTGAGCTTGCTATTTTCCACAAAGCCGGGCTGGCCAGCGCGTTGGACACCGCTGTCATCAGCAGCGGCCGCGACATCGGTACGGTAGCCGTCTTCGAACGCCAACTTGGGGATCAACTCCTGACCTTCTCGGCCAACGAGGATGGCACCTTCAGCGACGCCGAAACCGGCAGCACCTGGGACATTCTGGGCAAAGCGACCGACGGCCCCCTGGCCGGCGAGAATTTGACCCCTGTACTCCATTTCGATCACTTCTGGTTTGCGTGGGCGGCCTTCTTCCCGGAAACAGAGCTTTACAGCCCGAGCTAAGTTTGGTGGTCAGCGGCCAGTGGTCAGCAGATTCACTGGCCGCTGGCCGCTGGTGTTAACGGCTGCCAGCAGCTTCCGGTCAGGGATAGCTCCTCGAAATTCAGGGCGGTGACTCCTGTCTGATCGAGCTTCACCCGATAGCGGCGCCAGGGAAGATAAAAGTAAGTATACCCTCGCAGGCAGACCTGTGCCTGTGGCTTGTTGGTGCCGCCGAAGACATCAGGAACCTCCAGGGGAACGTAGCGAATATCCTCCAGAGCCAGACGGTGGACCCACAAGCCGGTAACTCCGTAGGTTGTTTCGGCGGCGCGACGGGCATTGACCGAAAGCCGTAACTCATCACCGGTCACATGCGCGGCCGGCGGGCTGAAATAGCGGGGCAACAATCCCCAGGACAACAGAACGAACGCCACAAAAGACAGCAGCCGAAAACGCAGCCCCCTCTCTCTTAGCTGGACAGCCTCGCTCAGAATACGCCAGACAACCACACCCCCGAACAACAGCAGCCACAGCAGCAGCAGGTTCAGGAGAAAGTCGCCGATATAGATCTGAACTGCGCCGCTGGGGGAAAGTGTGGCGAAGGGGAGAGGATAGCCAATACGACCGGGGCAGAGGTCAATGCATCCAGCGCTGTGAGGTGGCACGACGAAGAGATAGAAGGCCGCCACATTCAACACCATACTGAACAGAAGCGCGCCGGCGAAAGCCGCGTACCAACGGCCCGTCTGCTGGGACCACCAGATCACCAGTAACGCGCCGAGGATAACGCCGATGATTCCCAAGATCAGATGTGTGATGCCAGCGAAGTGTAACAAGCCATCCGGCCATATTGCAGTTGCTACCGGCCCACTGACCACGCATCACCGGCGAATCCGAACAGGACCGGAATAACGCTGCCAGCAGAGGAAGATGCGGTCGAAATACCCTGGCAACTGGCCTCGCATCTGTGGCCGGCCCTCACCACTCCACTCTTCCAGCCGTGGAACCCTGTTGCCCGACCTCACACTGATCAATACGGAGTCATCTGCGCAGGCAGCAAAATCCCCGACCACATCGCCCAGCGGGTACAGATACGAAGAACGGGCTGCTGAACCCGTCTGCCGCAGATCCACCTCGGTGATGCCGAATATCTCCAGCGAGAATACGCCTTGGGGTGAAAAACGGCTGCGAGCAAGAAGAAGCCGATCATCGTCCCGCCAGGCCAGCTGCGGTGCGAAGAACTCGAATCGGGTTTGGGTTTGCGCGCTCAACCGGCCGCGGGCCCCCGCCCCGTTGGCGGTCATCTCCCGCACCCACAGTTGATTGGAAGGACGCACAAAACCGACCGTCAAGCTCGGATGCTGAGGGTCATATGCCAGATGGGCCAGACGGCTGTTGCCGGGGCTAAGCTGGAACGGCCCGCGATAGATGCCCTCAGGCGCCAGCCGCCTCACATCGATCTCTCCGTCTGCATTCAGTTCGACCCGGTACAGACCGGTATACTGACGCCCTGCATCCAGATCGGCGGTATCAATGACAAACGAACGCGCCTCTCCGGCGCCGGACAGAACTGCGATCAGCGTTGGCTCAATTGTGTTGTTGGCTCTCCCCCCCAACAGGGACGTAGAAGCCTGCACCCGCAGAACAATCTGCCCATTCTGGCTGTCGTAGTGCCATAGCCGCCACTGGGCCAGACCAACCTGCGGCACTTCGATCCACCAGAGATCGCCGCGCCCGTCGGCTGCGATTCCCCGCATTCCCTGGAAGGGATAGGCCTGGAACGACAGTCCGATACCGTCCCCGCGCACATACAGGAAGCCATTCCGGTCCGCCGGCGCGTTGGCGTCGGGAACGACGAATCCTTCTGCGCCGTCATAGATGGGCAGCACACTCTGGCCGGTCTCGCGGACAACCGTCACAACACCATCCTGGTGCAAGAGGAAGACGCCGGGGTCGCCACGCCTCCCCAGCAGTGCAACAGCCTTTCCGCTCTTCCTGGCCGCGCCGAAGGTGGGCACATCCATGCGTTTCACGCGCTGGAACTCGGGCGGGGAGACCACGCGCATGCTAGAGACAATCACGCGACCACCATCATCTTTCCGACCTGCCACATAGACCTGTGTACCAGGCCAGAGGAAATCCGCCCCGGCGTCCAGCCATTCACCCCGGGACGCCCCAAAGATTCCGCTCCACATCACCACCTGCTCCTTAACCGGGTCAATCTCCAGCAGCAGGACCTCACCACTATCCGTCCGAACGGAGATCGGTTCTGCAAAATCGGCGGAACCGTCTCGCCGAGAACGGTCGCTGCAAACTCATCAGGCTGGGGAGGAGGGACCTGCGCTGGTTGCAGGACCACGGCGGACGATTCTGTGGGTATGTAGTCGTAGTCCGCTGCTTGCGCCGACGTAGCCCGCGTTGGCGTGGGTGTGTGGCGTCGGCGTCAGTGTTGCCGTGGCGTAGCCGTGGCAGTCGGCGTTGGGGTTGGGGTGAATGTTACCGTGGCTGTGGTGTTGCTGTTTGCGTCGGTGTCGATGTTGGTGTTGGTGTCAAGGATGGCGTGGCGGTCGCCGTGTCTGTCGGCGTCGGCGTCAGCGTTGCCAAAGGCGTGGCCGTAATTGTAAGCAGCTCGATCGGGGTGGCCGTGAACGTGGTCGTCACCAACTCGGTTGTTGCAACCAGTGAGGGTGTCACCCTGATCCCAATGCCGGGCGGGCGCGAGCCGAACGGCCGTATGCGAATGCCTTCATCTGTGTAGCGCAGCAGTGTCGTCAGATCGCCGTCGATTTCCATTAACTCGACCGCCATCCAACCTTCCTTCCCGTCCAACTCGGTCCTCGGATCCGTTACTTTCAACAGGACCCACGTACCGCTGGCGACGATGCCCCCTATGGTGGCCTGGACATCCTGGCCCAGGCGCGCTAATACGTCATCCTGCGTGGAGGGGCCGGCCCGCAGACGGGCAGGGAACAGAACGATGCTCCCCGTTACATTGTCGGGCGCGCCAATTTCAATTTCCGACGGGAAGACACTGATCGGCACATATGGTTCCGTCGCTGTCGGCGTTGGCGTCGCTGTGGGTGTCGCCGAAATGGTTGGCGTCAGCGTTGGTGAGGGGCTTACTGTCGCCGTTGCCGTAGAAGTAGATGTTCCGGTTGCCGTTGGGGGAACGGTCGCGACGCCCGTATGGGTCGCCAGCGCGGTAGCGCCAGGGGTCGGGCTGTCCGTCAATGCCAGCGGTCTGTCGATGGACAGGGAAGAAACCGGCGGTGTGGTGGTCGGCGACTCCGCTTGCAGCGCCGCAACAGTGGTCGACCTGCTGACGGCCGTTGGCAAGGCGACCCGATTCACATCGCGCAGCAGGAGCGACATAAGCAGAAACAGCGAAATCACAATGGCGAAAACGACACCGGCCGCCAGTGGATTCCCCCATATCAGGCTGCGCCCGTCAACCAGAGTTTTCCCAAAACGCAGGAATTTATTGTTCATCGTCCGCGCTCAAACATCGAAGCGGTGGCGCATTTCACAACTCCCGCCGTCATCAATTCTGTATCGTGACCGTCACGCGACAGGGTTCCGGATAGTTACCCGTGGTATCCACCACCACGACCTGAATCACATAGGTGCCGTTCGCCATGGCACTGCTGTTCAGATTGCCAAGAAGCCCACCGACCACCGGGCTTTCAGCGCCGTCAAAATAGTTGAAATTCTGATTGGCTCCTCCGGGCGCGTGCTCCAACTTGTAGAAATCAAATTGATCGTGCTGGGCCGTACCCACAATCGGTACAATTCCGCTTACTATCGCCCCGTTTCCCGGCGATAGTATGACTGCACGCCCGTCCGGGCACAATGCCGGGGAAACAGGAAGGGGTTTGGGCGAAGGAGTAAGCTGCTCTGGCTGCGTATCTTCCTCTGGATTATTCGGCACAGGTGTGGAGAGCACGATGCGGGTCGGCGCCGGGGTTGCCGTCGGTTGTTCCGGCGTGAAAGTCGGCGTCGGGATCAACGCCGAGAAAGATGTATTGGGGGCTGTCGAAGAGTCGTCCGCCGATGAAAGAACTGAGGATGACTCCACCGCGATCATTGCCTCGCGCAGCGTTGTGCTGGCGAAATAGGTGAATCCCATCACCACAAGCATCAACAACGCTGAAAGGAAAATGCGATACAGATCGTCGAGCGCTTTGTCTCGCTCCAGGGAAAAGACCGCCTGACGCCGCTCGACGCGCACCTGCCACGTGCGATAGAGTTGAAATAGCGCCAGCAGACCACACGTTGCATAAATATAAGGTGCAATGTTGGCAATGGCCTCAACAAGGAAACCCATTGGCAGTTACTTAACCGGGACGCCGAATAAAAAAATTCGGTTGCCGCAGACACCAAGTTCAGGAGCATGATGGCAACCAGGCGGAAATGGAATGAACACTCTTCAAGTAGTCTACCGTAGCCGCGTAGTTCCGCCAAAAAGAACTGAATTCTTAGGAGGGGGGCGCCCGGGCGTCTTGGCTACGGCCCAGACACGATCCTTAACCGCTTTGCCTATTCCCTACCAATCGACTATTATCAGAAGTCCATTCCATTTGACCGTTTCGAAACGCTTCGGAAAGATCAGCCCATGAATTTCGATTTTGTTTTTCGCTCCCGCCGCAGCAATGTCCTGGCACGCAACGGACTGGTCGCTACCAGCCAACCACTGGCTGCCCAGGCAGGATTGTCGATGCTGCAGGCGGGCGGCAACGCGGCGGACGCCGCTATCGCAACAGCCGCAGCTCTGAATGTCGTCGAGCCGATCTCCACCGGCATAGGCGGCGACTGTTTCGCCCTCTATTGGGATGCCAAAACCGAACGTGTGACCGCGCTCAACGGGTCTGGCCGCTCCGCAAGCGCCGCATCCATCGACGAACTGCGCCGTCTTGGTTATTCCCGCATGCCCCAATTTACGGGCCACAGCGTCAGCATCCCCGGAACCGTCGCCGGGTGGAGCGATCTGCTGGAAAGGCACGGCGACATGACGCTGGCCGATG